GCTGGAATTGTGGTTGACTCCATATATCACATAAATTCGGAAGTTAGGTAGATCATTATGGGCAGTAGTTCGGCGGCGGGTGACCCTGCAGTATTGGTGCACTGACCCTAGGCTCAACCAATCCCGAACAGTTATCCGATGATCGGTGTTCAACGACAACTTGGTTGATTCCCCGATCTTACCGTCAGACACATCCAATATACACAAGTAGAAGCCATGGAAGCAGTCCGGTTCAACCCTCTACAACCTATCGGCGAAAACATACATTTCTTGCAGCCTCTAGAGCCACGTGTGACGAGCAGTCCCGCCCTCATTATACTCTGTACCTGGCTCGGTGGCGCAACGCCTCGGCGCATCCAGAACTACATTGCTGGCTATCGAGCTATGTACGCCAACTCCGCAGTCCTTCTAATCACTACGCGCATACTGGAAATCAGCGCCCTCCCCTTCAGCGTCCTCCACACGCGTTTGGCCCCGGCCCGCGATGTGATTCGGCGATTTATTGGCTCTGCCACCGGGGAAGAACGCACTGATTCTATTTTGTTACATATTTTCTCACATGGCGGGTGCAATACTGCCATCCAGCTGGCTCTCTCGTTACAGAGCGATCCCACTCATCCCTTTTCAGAATTTGGGCGATATCTCGGTGGTATTATCTTTGATTGCTGCCCTGGCGATACATCCTTTAAGCGCGCATACCAGGCGGCTGCACACTCATTACCTACCTCTCTGCCGGTCCAAACAGTAGGAAAGGCTTTACTTTACCCCGTTATTGGCATTATCAATGGTCTCCAGCAGACAGGGTGGATGGGTTCTGTACGAGACCTGCGCGCGCAACTGAATGACCCTAGCGTTTTTGGGGCGACAGCTGCGCGATTATACTTGTACTCGATGGCTGATCAAATGGTTGGATGGGAGGATGTGGTGTCCCATCAGAAAGAAGCTAAATCTGAGCTGGGATGTGCGGTTCAAGGGGTTGCTTTTCCCGACGGGCCACACTGCGGCTTAGTGAGAGATCATCATGATCAATATTGGGATGAGATTCAAAGGTTCTGGAAGCGAAGGGGGACCACGAGACCTCCTGGGCTAACAGAATCTGCGTCAGGCGATAAGCCCCGGAGTCGGCTCTGATAAAACTTGATCAATTGTGAGCCGACCCATAATATGCAAGCACACAATAGCACCGTTCACATGAAATGTCATCCATCGGGCTTTCTGAAAGCTGTTCAAATTATTGATTTTATGCCACATTATAGAATCCCACATTATAGAATCAGGAGCACTGATACATATTCGTTCTGCTCCGACTAGAAACGTGAATCCGCTTAAAGGAGGCAGCTTATTCTACAATAGTGGGATTGCGTACAACCATACTTGCGTGTTGTATCCAGCGGAAAAGAAAACATCGTCGAGGCATTCATACTGCTAGATATGGAGAACCGTGGAAACATCAATCAATTGCGATCTGCTTTTATACTAGGGTTATTTTCTGGTACCTCGTGCATAAAGCCTTGCTCCGTTTCATGATTCTGGTTCATGTCAAACTCTTTGATGAAAATGTTCAGGATCAGATTGAGGCCTGCAAAGCCACACATTACCATCCAGATCACCTGGAATGATTCTACCAGAGCCTGCCGGATCATGCTCGCCTCGGAAGAGTCGGCCGGTAGCTTTTTCAATATTTCTACCAGTGTAACGGCATTCAACGATTGTGCCTGCGATTCATTGGCAGCTCCCTTCGCCACCGTATCAGACATATGCTTTTGGAGCTGGTTGTCGAGAATCACCCCTCCGATAGCAACGCCAATCGCTTGTCCCATGGATCTGAAGAATAAGACCAATGTCGCCGCCATGCTGACTTGGCGCTGCGGCACAGAGGATTGAATCGCGAGAGCGATGGATGGAAAGAGCAGCCCAATTCCTAGACCGGAGACAGCCTCCAGGAAAATCCACTGCACAACAGTGGTGTTGGACTCGAGCAAAATGAGCAGGCCCACACCGAAGCAGGTCAGGAGCCAGCCTACCCAGACGGCCCAGCGGTACCGCCCTGTGAAGCCGACTACTACTCCTACCATTATAGCACAGGGCACGACGGTCACTGTCTGTGGGAGCGCAGCCACACCAGCAATTACAGGGCTGTAGCCCTTGACCGACTGGAAGTATTCGGGCATATAGTAGACCAAACTGTAGAGGATGAGGCCGTGGAATGTGCTGCCCGCGTAAAGAATACCCACCGTCCAGTTGGGCAGGACTTCAGGCGGGATAAGAAGAGGCCTCTTGGTAACCGCGGCTGATCGTGCAATCCAGAACTCGTAGAGAACGAAGGCAAGGAGCCCGGCAGCGCCGAGGATCAGTGGCACAATAGTATGCCAGCTGGACCAGGCATATTGAACACCGCCCCAAGTGACAGGAATCAAAAAGGCAGTGATTGAAGCAATAAACAAGAATGACCCTGTATAGTCAAACAAGCGTAGCTTTTCCGAGAACGAACGAGATCGACGGCTCAGCCGTAAGAAAAACCCAATCCCAACAACCCCAACAGCGACGATTGGCAGGTTAATCCAAAAGATCCAGCGCCACGACCCTGATTGCGCCAGCGCACCTCCAATTATTGGTCCCGTGGCACTCCCCAACGCCCAGATCACACTGACAAGCGCATAGAAGCGAGCTCGATCGCGTAGTGGCACCAAATCGGTGATCAAAACAGTCGTCAAGGCAATGAGACCTCCACCACCGAGGCCTTGGATTGTCCGACCAGCAAGCATGGCCGGCCAATTATGTGACACGGCGCAGACGATAGCTCCAACGGTGAACACGAGCAGCGCGATGAGCATGATTGGTCGCCGACCGAATGCGTCGCTGAGCGTTACCCATATTAGCATCAAGATGGTACAGGCGAGTAGGTAGGACGTTCCGGCCCAGAAGGCTTCGGTCGTTGACCCGCCCAAATCGGTGGCGATGATCTAGGTAGAGATATCTCGTTAGCTTCGATCGATCACGGTATAAATCTATCTATATCGGGGGTGGAGATAATCGATACCGGGAGGGCAACAGATAGTGTCGTTGAATCGAAAGAGGCGGCGAGGTTTGTGAAAGCGATTGCCCAGAATGCGAGCCAGAATCTTATACCGAGACTTTTTCTTTCAGGTTCTGGTGGTTGTGTGTTGGTGATATTTTGCCCTCCTTCAGCTGAGGGTTCAACCCGTGCAGGGGTGGACTCCATCTCGGGCACTTGACACTGAGCGTTCACACAGGTTAAAGGGAGTGCCACCAATAGAGATGAAAAAGCTTAAAATAGACAAGTAGGCCAAGCGATGTGATAATAAAAAGAGCAAAGATGAATTGAGACAACGGCGTCCTTGTTACAGGATTCGGTAGTCGGATCTCCGAATGCCGAATATTGTCTTTGTTTGCTCAACGTCTGGCGTGTGGCGGCAGACGTCGATCTTTACAGCGTGCCTATATTTGCTGCTGATATATTTCCATCAACTAGCAACCGATTATCGCTTGCAAAATGGGTTATAGTTTGACGTCTATAGTTCTGGGGGTTGTGGTGTTTGGGCTCACACGAATGATCTGGGTGTCCATATCCTGGCATTTGCGGTATCGGAAATTCCACAAGAGTGATGGATGCCAACGGCTTCGTTCAGCATCGTCAAAAGATCCCATATTGGGTTTGGATCACTTTTTCCGTCTGGGCAAAGCAGCCCACAACAGCAGATACCTCGAAGCATTCCAACAATGGTTTCAAGCAGTCGGATCCACCTTTGGCGTCAATCTGATGGGTGACTATGTGATCTTCACCAACGAACCGAAAAATGTGCAGGCCGTATTGGTTACAAAATTCAAAGATTTCGAGATTGGCCAGCGGCGTCGCGATAACTCTGCCGAGCTGTTGGGAATTGGCGTCTTTAACGCGGACGGCCAGACATGGGAGCATGGTCGAGCCTTGGTACGGCCGAACTTCACGCGGAAACAGGTCGCCGATTTGGGTCTCTTCGAAAAGCATGTCCAGCGTCTCTTTGAGGCGCTTCCGAACGATGGGACTGCGGTGGATATTCAAGAATGGGTATTTCGATTTGTGAGTCCATTGGCATTTCCCTGTATACACCCCCGACTCCGCTAACTCGATCCCTTCTTGTCTAGACTTTGGACACCGGAACAGACGTTCTATTCAGTGAGTCGAGCGATGTGCTCATGCCCAGTGCTACTGAGGTAGCTCGCAAGTTTGCATGGGCATTTGACCGTGGCATTGACGGGATTGCACAACGCATTCGATTGGGCTGGTTCGCCCGATTCTACTATGATCCGCAGTATACAGCTGCCTGCAAATTTGTCCACGACTATGTCGATGAGATCGTTGCTAAAGCAGTTGATCGCGCTAAAGAGTGGGATGCGGAAAAGAAAAAAAAGCTAGTACAACCGGATGACGCTGAGGAGGAACGGTATACCTTTTTAAATGCCCTTGCTCGAGAAGGAGTGGAACCCAAGCAGATTCGGGACCAGATCTTAAACATCCGTAAGTGCTATAAACGCTTCCTACAAAATCGTGCTGAGCCGGCTAACAATCCACCCTCAAATCTCAGTGGTTGCTGCCCGCGATACATCCGCCTGCCTCATGAGTGCGGCGGTATTTGAACTTGCCCGAAGACCCGAGTATCAAGCACAGCTTCGAAGGGAAATTGCCGAGAAATTAAGTGGACGCCAACCCACATTCGAAGACCTTAAAGATCTTACCTTCCTGAATCAGTTTGTCAAAGAAACTCTACGCATGTACCCCCCAGTGCCGCTCAACGCACGGGTAGCGAAGAATGACACAGTTCTACCTCGCGGGGGTGGCTCGGATGGCATGGCCCCAATTTTTGTGCCCCGAGGCCAGCTCGTCGTGTATCAAGTTTATTCCATGCACAGACGAGAAGATCTGTGGGGTGCGGATGCGCACATATTCCGCCCTCAGCGATGGGAAACGACACGACCTACCTTTGAGTATCTGCCGTTCAATGCAGGACCGCGCATTTGCCCTGGTAAGTCATGATCATTGCAAGGCCATTATTTCCGAGTTTCCTGTGTCATATTTTATACTTCAAATCGATAGCTAACAATCCTATGATTTATTCTAGGCCAGCAATTTGCTTTGGTGGAAACAAGCTACGTCTTGGTCCGTTTGCTTCAGGAATATTCGAACATAGAGGCCCGTGGCAACAGTGCACCGTGGAGGGAGCATTTGACACTCACTTGCTCTGTTGGTCAAGGGGTGTGGGTGAGTCTGGTCAAATGAAGATCTTTGAGTTCGATGCAAATCATTGCAAAGGGCGTACGCGTAAGGGGGTCGCAGTATCCCTTTTGTTTCCTAGATCACATACTATACTCCATAGGCCTGGAAATAGTTCAGTTCTTCCCACTTCGCACTTTCAGGCACCTGAAGCGCATGAATTTACTAAGAAGATTTGTACTTTGGGTAGATAAATTGCAGATGCATCTCTTTCTTTAGTAATATTGCAGAAGGGGGAGGTTGACTTTACTACATAGGTGTTAATAAGTCTTTCCCACTCTTATAATCACCAGCAAGTGCCGATTTCAGGCCTGTTTTTCTCCACGGATTTATATAGTAATAATTTTTAATTTGGTTCTAATCAAATTTTAGTATCAGATTAACAAAATATCTCTTTCCGAACAATCCTGAGTGGCAACCGATCAAGATCTAATTCCTAGTTTGAATCTCGATTATATATAGTGGCCCTACAGTTAGCTCTTGACCGGAATCTTTTGCAAAACTTAGCAATTGGTAGTTTTATAATCGTATTATCCCTCCGAAAAGGCGAGGTAAAACGAGCGATTGTTCACAAGCTCAAACGGCGCAGAAGATCATCTGATAGATATAGCAGCGTTTGCTTACTCATGTTTGTCATGCTTTCCTAGCTATAGATAGAGAGCTTTTTCCTCAGAGATCCCAGAATATGATTCCACATCAGATTCTCCATCATCAACAAAAGCAGCAGTCAATGCCTACAGATACTCATTGGTAGCCTCAATAGCAGTGGCACCCCAACCCCGAAAACCTCCTATTGGTAGCTTTCATCCGCTGGCTTCCCTGACCTGTCGCCCGACAGGGGCGACTGGATCCAGAGCCAATTTTTGTAGTTCTTCTTGAACCAGCGATCACTACGTGAGCCGCTTCTGCAACGGGGGTTATGAAGCAACCTCGCCGCACCTTCTCGCCAGCGCAATTGGACAATCGATCCACCGCGTCGAGGCGATCCTTCTACAGACCGTGGGAAGAGTGGTGGACGAGGATCTGCGCTGCGACCATTGCAAGGCAGGGCTCGGGCCATTCCGATTTTGTGGTGTCCTGGATACCCCAGGGCAAACTAAGGATTGCAGAAACTGCCTTTGCGACCAGGTCAACTGCACTCTGTACGGGCCCCTCCCAATCTCCGTTGGTGGCTTTTGCGCTGCCCGGGGTCGACACCCTTTACGCCGTTACACCTCCAGGCTTACGGGCAATCTTTTGCAACAGTTTCTACGCGCAAGGAGCGTCGTTTGTAGACAGTTTCACACCTTCGTTTATACGGTCGAGCGACTTTATGCTAACGAGTACACATTTTTTGACGATACAGTCGAAACGCCTAGCAAGCAGATAGTTGGTCGGATTTTTTCAATAGGTTCGTGGTTAGGTCTTCGGGCTACGGGGGTATGTTAAGAGATGCCTTGCCTAAGGTTTTGGCCCCCATTTCGGTGCTGATCTCACCATAACTACCCAGGACGGATCACCGATTGACCGACGACCGACGTCCGATGGCCGATGGCGTAGAGAGATGGATCCAGGCTCCCTTGGTATGGCCTGCGCTGAGAATGGAAATCTCACGTTCATCGATTTCGAATTCCACAAAACATCCCTAAGCCGGATTCAACCATCCAGAGCTACCGAGCAAAATATATTCCAGATACCGATTACACTTTGATCCCTACTCGACCATGATTGGCTTTTATTTGCACCTCGTCACGGAGACTCCCGCCATCTTCAGCTTTCTCTTCTCGCCCTCGATGACTCTGGCACAACCCCAGCCATACGCTTCCCCGCTCATCAGGCAATATGGGGTTTTGTTAGCAGTGACCAGCCTTATTTTGATTAGTGTCATGATTGATATTGACCACCGAGCCAAAATGGCCCACGACGATCCCTATGCACAGACTTTGAGACAGCGGATGGCGGGCGCGCTCGCGGTCTATCATCTTGCACCTACATTTAGAGCCATTGGACGGTTGGGTGTTCATTTCCGATTTCCATTTTGGGTTGGCTTAGAACCGAGTTCAAAGGAGGTGCGTGGAAGAAATGTGGAAAAGGGATTATCCAAAGCTATACTTTCGTCTCCCTTGGTGCATTTGATGTTGCATGGAGTATGTTGTGCGCTGCTGGTTGACATGGCCTTCGGAGGAAAGTATTTGCATTAAATGAAGTTCAATAGCAAAGTGCTGTTTTGCTTTACTCTGGAAATTCCAAGCATTATTGATAGACTGAAGAAGCAGCTTACAAGACTGAATCGGACACAGAAATATCCTATCTTGTCAATCACTTGAGTATCCACCATGGAAGCCATTTCCAACAATCTTAGTCCTCATCAACCTCGCATCTCCTCAACATAGCCATTTCAATTGCTAGTCCAGGACCAAATGAGGTCGCAACAACATACTCCCTCTTTCCCAACGATCGAAGCCGATCAAGGACAATCAGAACCGTCGCACTAGACGAATTACCCCGAGTACGGTATATTTCCCGACTTGCCTGCAGCTGATCTTCAGTTAAACCCAGAACCTGTTTTGCGCCCTCGATAATAGCCTCTCCTCCAGGGTGTAGGGCCCAGTCAAAATCGCTAATGCCTAGCGACTTTGTTACTTCCCCTACCCCCTGTCTGGAGCCAGACTGAATCTGGCTCTGATAAGAGGGAAGAAGTTTCTCGAACATTGGACCGATCGCGTGCTTGGTGTATTGCGGGACATCACGAGTGAGAACAGTCCGGTAACCTACACAGGAGCGAATGGTTAGTGTATATCCCGTTTTAAGGAAAGAATCAACGGACCATCAACATCTGCAAAGAATGCCATATGCTCAATCGTATCCGGGATCAAGGCATTGCCCCACTCGAGAAGTTGAAACAGGGGCGTGATCTCGGTTTCAGCCATGGCATACTCGTTGCAAAGAACGAACGCAGCAGCAGCATCCGAGAATAAAGCCCCTGCAATGCTAATGTTTTCCGAATCGGCAGCTTTCTCCGCAAATGCCAGATCATGGCGGACATTAGGAGTACACAGCTCACATGCGAAAGCGAGGATGCGGGCCGGCTTCCGTCGCATACTAGCACCGCAGGCTATTTGCGCTGCAGCTCGCATAACAGCTAGTCCCCCTGCACAACCGACACCATGGAGAAGCATACGATCAACATTGGCTGATAAACCCAGTTTACGATTCACAAGGAGATCGTATCCCGGGTTACCTTGATTGGTGCAAGTTACCCCGATAGTGTGGGTGACTTGTTGAGGAATAATCTGAGACTCCCGCAGAGCTTTCTTACAAGCTTGAGTGGTGAGATCGACTCCCGCTTGATGATAGAATTCGGCAAGCTCACTGATTGTTGGCGCCTCGGGCCGAGTTGCAAATCCGCTTTCGTAAGACCGAATAGCAGATCTTGTCTCGATGCCGGAGGAGCGGTTGATTTGCAAGAGCTTTTTGAGTCTACATACATTGAATTAGAGATTCCTGCTGTGAAGACAGTTGAAGAAATGATATAGCATACCCTGGACTCTCTACATCGTAGAAGCGTGCCGCGAATTCCTCGAGCTTCTCCGGTCCCAAAAGATACGGAGGGTATTGGGACCCCAGTCCAGTGATGTACAGGCCTGGCGGTGGTGAGTGGTTGAGCACCATAGTGTTCTGTATGAATTAAGCCCGCGATCAACTTGGAATGCAGCGCAAAACGTAGATGAATTCAAAAAAAAAAGGAAGAAAAAACCCCGGGGGCTGGGCTTTTTTGCAGTCCCCGGAAGACCGGCCGTCCGAATGGCATTCGGATTACCGAACGTCGGCCCCGTCAGCACGATGGCCTTTTTAAGATCAAGTTGAAGGGCGATGGGGGCCATTTTTGTTATATATATAAACTCGGATCCTCTTAAAGGAGAATTGATGAATCAAATTCCTTCTTCTCTCTTCTATCTCAACCCCAAAAGTCTTCTTGTAGCTGCCTAACAGCTCTTCATTCGCGAATCCTATTACCTAGGTACAGGACGCCGTTGTGTTTGCAACCCTTTGATTTTATATAAAACATTTTCAGCAAAATGCTTGCACAAGATGTCGAATTCGTGGACCTTCCTCCACTCGAAGCCACTGCTGGGGCCGCTACAACGGACAATGAAACATCTTCCTTGAATTCAAATCCCGTGCCAACCCCCAGCGAGGCGAGCTCGACATGTCCTCCCCATCAACTCCCTGTCCCCGTTCCCGATGGCGATCATCCGCCGTTGGTGGAGCCTATGGCTATTTGCGGCATGGCAATGCGTCTTCCAGGTGGCATCCGCGATGCGGAAGGCTTCTGGGATCTATTATACAACAAGCGAAGTGGGAGATGCCGCGTCCCGAAAGACCGCTATAACGTCGAGAGCTGGTATGGACCGGGAAAGATTGGACACGTCGCCAGTGAGTACGGCTACTTCTTGGATGATGTAGACCTGCGAAATGCGGATGCTTCTTTTTGGTCGATGACCAAACAAGAGATTGAGGCGATGGACCCTCAGCAGCGACTTTCCCTGGAGGTCACGTATGAGTGTCTTCAAAATGCTGGACAGCGGCCTCAAGAGCTTCGCGGGCGCAAAATCGGTGTTTATCTCGGCACCTTTGAGGGAGACTGGCTGGAACTCGATGGCAGAGATCCTCAGCACTATCATATGTACCGTCTGACGGGATACGGAGATTATATGTCGGCCAACCGCATTCACTACGAGTTCGGATTTATAGGTCCCAGGTAATTACATACCAGCCTTGATATCAAAGAACACTATTGACCGTTGGAAATTGCAGTGTAACAATTCGAACCGCCTGCTCTTCTTCTCTCACGGGTCTGTATGACGCCTGCCACGCTATTTCAGCCGGGGACTGCGACTCCGCTATCGTGGCATGTGCAAATATCATCTACTCTCCCCGAACCTCTATTACAATGCAAGAGCAGGGTGTTATCTCCCCGAGCGGATCCTGCAAGACCTTTGACGCAAACGCCGACGGATACGCACGCGGTGAGGCAGTTTCAGCTGTGTACGTGAAAAAGCTCAGCGATGCTATTCGCGATGGAGATCCCATTCGCTCTGTTATCCGATCAACATGCATCAATGCTGGTGGTAAAGCGTCAACCCTTACAGCGCCAAATACCGCTGCACACGAGGCGTTGATCCGTCGTGGTCACGAGTTGGCCGGAGTCACGGATTTCTCCAAGACTGCTATGATTGAGTGCCACGGTACAGGAACAGCGGTATGTTCATTATCAATTGCACTTTCTTGTTTTGAATCATGATACTAATTTCTACTTAGGTCGGTGATCCCATCGAGACAGCGGCTGTAGCCAACGTGTTCGGTGAGCATGGCATTTATATCGGTTCGGTGAGTGACAACCAGGTGTTTTCCGACTTAATCAAAAGATTCTAATGCTCCATTAGGTCAAAACCAATCTGGGACATAGTGAAGGTGCATCAGGCTTGTCAAGTATCATTAAAATGACCCTAGCGCTTGAACACAAAACAATTCCGCCCAATATCAACTTCACGACTCCCAACCCCAAGAGTGCGTATCGCCAGCCGAACTTCTGCTATTCATTGAACTAACGACTCGAATATTAGTTCCATTCGAACGATGCAAGCTGAAAGTACCCACAGAGCCACTTCCTTGGCCTAAAGACCGCGCCGAGCTGGTAGGAGTCAACTCCTTCGGTATCGGTGGGTCTAACGCCCATGTGAGTATATATCATTAGATGGCAGGACCATATTGCCAGTGACTATGGTACTGACGCAAATTTCAGGTTCTGCTAGGATCCGCTGCCTCCTTTGGAATAGGGTCAGCAGAGCAGACAATTATGGCTAGTGAACAGTCTACAGAGGTTGCAATGGCAGAGTTGACACCACGATTGCTGCTATTTTCCGCTAAACACCAACAATCGTTGGAGCGGATGGTCGCTAACCACCAAGCTTATTTCCTGTCCCACCCCGAGTCGCTTGATGACATGGCCTATTCTCTTGCCCTCAAGCGAGAGGAGCTTTCCCATCGCAGCTTCTGTGTCACGAATGGTGAAGATGATTGGGTCCCGTCGAGGACTCACCGCACCAGTGGGAGAGTCCCTCCCATGTTGATATTTACTTTCACCGGTCAGGGTGCCCAGTGGGCACAGATGGGTAAATCGCTTATCGGCCAAATGCCTCGTTTCCGACGCAGTATCGAGAAGCTGGATCAAGTACTTCAAGCTCTTCCAAACCCTCCTCAATGGAAATTAATAGGTAAGTCAATCAGCGTTCTCATTCCTCACCAAGTGGGCTCCTCCATAAATGAAGTCTCTGTTTCTCACGCAACGTATAGATGAGATTCGAGCTTCGAAGAAGAACAGTCGTCTTTCCGAGGCAGAGATTTCACAGCCCTGCTGTACAGCTATTCAAATCGCTCTGGTCGATATTTTGGAACATTACGGAATCCGCCCAGACGCCGTAATAGGCCATTCTAGTGGGGAAATAGGTGCCGCTTATGCCTCTCACGCCATCAGTGGAGTAGATGCAATTCAAATTGCCTTTTATCGTGGCCTAGTGATGTGCAGTTTGAACCCAGCAGAGCGTCCTGGAGGCATGGCGGCCGTTGGCCTCGGGGCTGAAGAGCTCACACCTTACTTGCGACCAGGAGTCCGCGTGGGATGTGAGAATAGTCCCAACAGTGCAACTCTAACAGGCGATAGAGAACCATTAGAGGAGACCATGAAAGCTATCAAGGAGGCCAACCCCGACGTCTTTGTCCGGGCACTCCAGGTGGATCGAGCCTATCACTCGCGTATGTCATGCGATTGTAATGAATGGACCAGAATATACTAATAGCGTTGTTTGCAGATCATATGGAGACCGTGGCACCTGAATATGTGGAGCTTCTCACCAACCAGAGAGTCCAAGCCATGGATCCCTCAGTTAAATTCTTTTCCAGCGTTACTGGCCGTCAAGTGGATCAAAGCCAAGAGCTGGGCCCCATGTACTGGGCCAAGAACCTCGTCTCTCCAGTCCGCTTCTCGACTGCCATGGAGGAGCTGGTGCAGTCTCTGATTGGACCTAAGGTCTTCCTAGAAATTGGACCTCATTCTGCGCTGGCTGGGCCTATTCGGCAGATCCTCCAGCACCATAAATCAACCGATGAGTATTTCAACACATTGACTCGGGGTAGTGACTCCCACAAGGATCTGCTGAAGGCAGTTGGTGAAATGTGGCTGCAGAATATTCCAGTGAATCTGACTGCAGTCTTCGGCCAAGGTCGTTTCCTGCCAGCCTTGCCTCTCTATCCTTGGCATTATGAGGAGCCTCTCTGGTGTGAAAGTCGTCTTTCGAAGGAATGGCGTTTAAGGAAATTTCCTCATCATGATATCCTCGGATCAAGGGTCCTCGAAAGCACAGATCAGAATCCCAGCTGGCGTAATATCCTCCGCCTCGATGTGGTGCCATGGATCAAGGAACACGAAGTCGCCGGTGAAATCGTCTTTCCAGGTGTTGGTTATATATGTTTGGCTGGAGAAGCTATTCGTCAACTTACTGGAGAGAATGGGTTTACAGCCCGCCGCGTCCACATCAAGGCTGCGCTGGTCATGCACCAGGGCCAAGACGTGGAAGTGATCACTCAGTTGCAGAAAATTCCTCTCACCAACGCGGCCGACTCAAAGTGGTACAACTTCAGTGTCCATTCCTATAACAAGGGAATCTGGGTCAAGCACATCTTTGGCCAAGTGTGCGCAGGGTCAGATCGAGAGCACCAAGCTCCTTCATTGGAGTCACTGCCACGACAATTGTCGCGGCGTGGGTGGTATCGTAAGATGAAGGAAATGGGACTTGAATATGGATCGCGATTCATGGGTCTGACTGACATGACTGCTCACCCCATTGAGCGCAAGGTCATCGCCACTGTGGTTAATGATATTCGTGAGGGAGAGTCCAAATATGCGGTACACCCTGTATCTCTGGACTGTTTGCTTCAAGCCATTGTTCCTGCCACCTTCAATGGACTGACAAGACGATTCCAACATCTCGGAATCCCTACCTACATGGAAGAAATCTATGTATGCCCTCCGCTACAGCCAGAGATGACCATTGAAGCTCGGGCCGACGAGCAACCCACAGCTGCTCTCTCGGGTAGCATCATCGCGGTCTCAAATGGTCATGTTACAATTGACATCAGGGGCCTGCAGATGTCTGCAATTGGTGATGCGGCCGATGCCTCTGAGCAGGATCCACATGCTGCGGTCGAATTGGAATGGCGTGAAGATATCAATCTCATAGATGACGCTGCCAAACTCATCCACCCAGCGAAGGACCGAACCGATCTGCACCACATCCTGGATAGATTTGCCTCGGCCTCCATGATGGATACATTTACCCGCCTTCAAGAGGTTGAGCCAACCCGGTCGCATTTGACTCATTACCAGAAGTGGATTGAATCAACCGCAGATCTAATTAAGCTTGGTAAATACCCTGGCCTTCAGCCTGAGGATGAGATTGCCCAAGTCTCAGACGCGGAGCGGGTAAACATCATCGAGAGTCTCTATCTTTCTCTCTTGGAAACAGATGCCGCTGCGACCGCGACAGCCATCTATCGAATCTGGAAGGAGTGCCAGGGCATCTTCACCGGTGAAACCGATGAGCTTGAGCTCC